GGGGAAAGGGGGGAATGGGGGAGGGGTGAAGAGGGGCGCTGGGGGGCGGGGACCCCAAAGAAAACAAGATCATATATAAGGCTATGTTGATGTGGTGATGGCCCCAGTCTGTGGTTAAGATTAGGTTTAGGGGGTAGGTGACTTTCGAACCAGGACTAACCCGTCTTCATCCGAATAGAACGCCCGGTCATTATAGCTATATTTTTGGGGCAACTTAATAGTCCAGATACAGTGAATATGACGGTAGCTGTATTTCATACAGTCTACATACAATGTAAACGACGGGGGCCTTCTATTCGGGTCAAGACGGCCTTTGGCAACGCGCATGTACCCAGCTCCCCCTCGAAATTCATTTTTCCTTTTTTTACTGCGCGAAGTTTTTTTCATTGGCTCAACTAATTGCAGAAACCTCACGTGGCAAAATTACAGCAAACCTAGGCTACCAGCCGGACCGCCCGGGTATACCTTGTTTTCCCGGGCGGCCCGGTCGTGCAAACACCCGGGAAAGTCCCAGCACACAACAAAAAACAAAAATCCAAAAAATCCGAAAAAAAAAACTCCGTTATGCAGAAAAATAAAGTGAACAACTTTTGCCCCAGGGTCACATCGAAATTCTTTACCAAATTCAAAAAAAAAAAATAATAATTAAAAATATATATATCTTTTCTTTTTTCTTTTTTCTTTTGACCGGCCGGGCAATTCGTATCGGGCCACTCTGGTAGCCTAGCAAAAAACAGATTACGGACGTCATCCGCCGAATAGAACGCGGGGCTATTACATATGTATTCAGCGTAATTTTGAGGTCAGATACCGATGAGATAACCCTACGATCATCCTTTCAGCTTGCCAACCTACATCTAAAAGTCCCTGCCCCTCTGCAAATTCTATTGCATCGGAAATGAAAAATAATTATAATCATCATCATCATCATAATAATAATAATAATAATAATAATTCATTTAAAAAAATGCTATTTGGATACTTTTGACTGCCTCCTCCTCCTCTCATCCTCCTTCTCCACTGCAAAATGCTAATTACAAAATTCATTAGACTAACTAACGGGTGTCGGCTTCTCTCGCTGACGTCAGGTGCTCTAAGTTGCCACTACCGTCTTCCCCCGAACACAACGCACCCTCATTTTGACTGTATCTGGCCGGAAATTCAACTTTTATACATTCATTTTAAGGGTGCGTTATGTTCGGGGGAAGACGGTAGCGGTGTGGCCCCCTCGCTGATGTCAGGTGCTTTGCTTTATTTTCTCTCGTCACAGGAGGGGCGATGTGGTGTTCCAGTTTGTTCTTCAGTCGGCGCGTAGAAGCGAGAAGCAGAGATTGAGCATCTACTACCGTCTTCACCCGAATAGAACGCCCGGTCATTATCGCCGCATCTAGTCCGAAAGTTGTGTCAAATACAGCTATGATGACCGCGCGTTCTATTCGGGTGAAGACGGTAGTGATCGCCCCGCCCTGGGCTGAATGCGTTTTCTTTGTTTTGGTGTTTGGTCGTTTTGTAGGTTAGGCTTCCTATCAGTAAAAAACCGTTGAACCGTCGTTTGAGTCAGCTTTGGGTCGAACTCATGTTTCATGTTGACAACAACAAGAAGAAGTGGGACGGGATCCGAACAGGTGTAAGATCGGAGTTGTGGCTTTTTTGAAACAGGAGTAAGTTTTGGGAATCTCTGGACAAGTCCAGCTCTGTGCTGTTATGTCGTTGAACGGTTAATGGGGTGTTTGTGAATCTTTGCGGATGACGGGACAGTGTTCTCTTGGGGGGAGGGGGGGGAAGGGGGGGCGGAGGGAAAGGTAATTAATTGGATTAATAAAAGAAAAAAAGGTAATTAATTGGATTCTACACCCTCTCTTTCGCTTCTCGTTGTCGTTTTCCATAAGGGACGGTCGGGACGTGCGGGGGGGCGGCTCATTGGCCTTCTCTGTCTGCATCGACTACCGTCTTCACCCGAACAGAACCCGCCGTCATTATCGCTGTACCTGGACTGCAAGTTACCCAAAATACAGATAGAATGACCGTGCGCTCTATTCGGGCGGTGATCTTTCTAGGCTACTGTGTGACGAGAACGCCACGTGGCCAGCCTACCGATAAACGACAAGCTTTCAGAAACTATAGGCAAACCAAGACCAACCGAAAGGGTAACACCCCGCCCCCATACCCCCCCCCCCCCCCCCCCCCCCCCCCTTGCTCCTCCGGCTCCTTATTCAATTGGGGACGATTCCATCAATCGGTTATCGAATGGGTCGATTGATTGATTGAGTGATTGAGTTGATTAAATTGATTGAATTAACTGATTGACTGAATGATTGCCGGACTGACTCGTGATTGATTGGTAATTGGTAATTGGTAGACCTATTGATTGATTGATTGATTGATTGATCACGTGACTGATTAATTGGCTGGTGGGATGATTGGTTGACTGAATTGATTGATTGAGTGAGTGAGTGAGTGAGTGAGTGAGTGAGTGAGTGAGTGGTTGAGTGGTTGATTGACTGATTGATTAAATGAACAAATGATCATTTGATAAACTGACTGATTGACTGATTGATTGATTGATGGACGGATTAATGGACCGACTTTAATTGAACTGACTTGCATGCAAGAGTCCGGGTTGGCTAACCCGTTTCTCCACGTTGGAATCGCATCAATCAATCAACCAATCAATCAACCAACCAACCAATCAACCAACCAACCAATCAACCAAGCAATCAATCAACCAATCCCGCATGAGCATGCCTGTCTCTGTTCGTCACCCACAGGCAGTCATCTTTGTCCTCATTAATGTGTGAGCCATGCGAGCCACCAAGCCATCAATCAACCAATCAACCAATCAACCGATTAATTCATTTGCATGTCAAATCTGGACAGGATGGCCTTTCAGAGCTAATTCTTTTAGGCCCAACCAATTCAATTGCATGTCAAATCTGGACAGGACGGCCTTTCAGGGCTTTTTACTTTCATTTAAATTCATTTCAGTATTACGGGGAACCCCGTAGCAGCAAGGCGGTCCCTCTTTCAGGAAAGAAATAAAAATACAAATAAAAATCATAGGCTGGATGAGGATCTATTATTTATTCGGCAAAATAAAAAGAAAAGGCAATCGCCTACCTGATCGTGACATGCTGCACAAGGCAACTTGAAGGGGACCGTCCACACTTTTCCTTATGAAAGCAGATCGACATCCAGATCCCGATCCTTTTCAGACCCAGAAGAAGGACACGTGTTACGTGCTTATGGAAGCAGATGCAGATCCGGATCCAGATCCAGATCCCGTCGCACCCTGGCCGAATTTTTCCTTGAAAGCTTGCTGGCGCTTTAACCACATCATGTGCCATTGCAGGCCTCCCGCCCACAGGAGGAGGCCCACCGCCGCTAGGATGCGCTTGTCTGAAATCGCGGCTCTTAAGTTGGATGGCATCATCGTGATGAGCTAACTAATTAATCAATTAATTAATTCATTATTAATCACATTAATAGTGTACCGTTGCGGAAGCCACGTGTACCCCACGTCAGTTGAGCATCTAGGACACGCACACTCACTCGTGAACAGACATCGACTCGCACGATCACTCGTCGTAAATAGCGAACGGTCCTTCGGGACATCCGCTAAACAAATCGAGATATGGCCGCAATATTGTTTATTTTCTATTTTTGATTATTGATTTTTAACAATATGAAATCCTCATCAAACAAATGGTCGAGGCCGGGGCTAAAGAAAAAAAAAAACAATTCAACCCGGGGGTTATCCTGACAGCATCATCCAGGTTAGCTTACGGCCCCAGCCGAGCCGAGGGCCAGACTTAACAACATTCTGAAGTTACAAACACCACATTCCCTTCTTCCAATGGCCGCAACATTCTTTTTTTTTTTTTTTTTTTAACTATACCAATTGCGTAATGAAATGTTTTGTAGCAGTATTAAAAAAAAAAAGGGAAAACAAATGGGAAAATTTCCAAAATGCCCCTGAAGTTTGTGTTTATTTGCTATTTGCCCCTGCGATTGCCGACTTCCCTGATTTGCCCCTCTGACAGCGATTCAAGCTTCCAAAACAAACTCGAGTCGTTTGGGCCTGAGACATTTTCAATATGCCCCTACCAGTTTGCCCTTTCAGTACAGGCACAAGAATTTTCCATATGCCCTTACCGGTACCGTGCATCTTTTTGGTGTGCCCTTCTGGCCGTTGCTGGCAGGAGCGGCTGTTCCCCTGGCCCTGGGAGGAGTGCTCCCGGGGCACCTTTTTTCCTTTTTTTTTTTTTTTTGTGTGTGTGTGTGTGTCAGAGAGAGAGAGAGAGAGAGCAGGTAAGTCTCCAACCTCACGGCTGGCTTCATGGTACTTCCATTGATAGGATGAGCAAAATCGAATGTATCTACCGCTGGAACATGGAAATATACACTGCCACACGTGTGTACATGTGTGTGTGTGTGTGTATGTGTGTGTTAGCATGCGTATGCCACATGTGCTTCGCTCGAGCACGACACATCATGCTCGTGCTACTCCGACCTAAAAAACGTTGGCACACCGTGAGCAAAACGCAAGACGCGGGAGGCAATCTTCCAACGCGGCGAGGTAAAACCATTTGGTATGTCCATCCTGTGGTGAGGGTAACCACGGGGCCGTTTATCGGGTGAACTTCGGCCAAACCTGCGCTAGTGGCGAATTGAAGTGAAGGGGGGTAGGGGTGCTTCGTATTGCAAGGGGGCAACAATCGAACCATTCATTCAGAGAGAGGGAGAAAAAAACGGAAAAAACTCGAAAAAAAACGGAGGGATGACAGTTCGAGGAACCGAAGACAGAACAACCATTGATGACATCTTTACACATGGCAACGCTCGGATACAATCATATAACTTTCTTATCCAATCAACAAGATGCCAATCGGAAACGGACAAATGGAGAGAAGTGGGAAGGCCTTTTCACAGGATAGGAAGGGGGGGAAGGAAAAAAGAAAATGAAAAGGAAATAGAAATTGCAAGGGAGATAATAGACGGGAAGGAGAATGCATCCATTAAAAACCGAGCACTTTGAAGAAAGCAATATTTTAGAAGATCGAAAAAAACTACTACCAGTTTTTCCTCAACAAAAACAATTACAGATTACGCTGCCCACCTCACACCTCTACAATCGAACAGTCATATGGTTCCAAGGGGATAGAAGGGAAGACCGGGGGACGGAGAAGAAGGGGGGAGGAGGAAGGGAAGGGGAA